CTCTTTTAGGGCATTGGTGGTGTTATACGTGACAATGATAGTACCTTTAAGAACATGCTCCAGAGATAATACAGGGCAGCTGATATTTGGACATTTATGTCCTTTTTCCAAACTGAAAAGTTTTGATTCTGCTAAAGCCTTCAGAGAAAGTTTAACCAGAAATCCTAGAGTTGTAATAATGTTACATTAAGATACTGATTTGATTACAAATGTTTTGAGAGTGCCTGCTGGTATCTGCTCAGTGTTTAAATGAGATGTAATCTCTGACTCAGTAGTCATTTGTAGCAAGATATTCCATGTTCCAGTAATTCTTCGTGTGAAAGTATCACTTTGGACTTCCTCAAGTATTCTTCCAAATGACACGCAGCCAAGGATTTTACAAATATTTCCAAATTTGCAAAATTCCCTGCAGCAGCAGTTGGTCTCAGGATTCACAGGCCGCTGAAATGCCTCTTGCAGCAAATGCCTAATGTTTTTATATTATAGTACACGGTGGCTCCGTGGTTAGCACTGCTGCCTCATGGTGCCAGGGATATGGGTTCAATTCCAGTCTCAAGCAACTGTCTGTGTGGAGTTTGCACATTTTCCCCATGTCTGTGTGGGTTTCCTCAAAGATGTGCAGGGTAGGTGGATTGGCCATGCTAAATTGCCCATAGTGCCTAGGGATGTGTGGGTTAGACATGGGGAATTAGGGAAATGGGTCTGGGCAGGATGCTTTTCAGAGGGGCAGTGTGGACTTGTTGGGCCGAATGGCCTGTTTCCACACTGTAGGGATTCTGTGATCATCTTTGTAAAATACAGAGTTGTCTACACTCAAGTAAAAGTCAACCCCATGATTTTTGTCCTGAAAAAACAATTATTTTTGATATACTTTATGTAAAAGTTCACTCCAGTTTTTCAATGGTCAAAACACAAAAAAAATTAAGGAATCAAAGTATAGTCATAGTCAAAGAATCATAGAGACATACAGCACAGAAACAGACCCATCGATCCAACCAGTCCATGCCAAACATAACCGCAAACTAAACTATTCCCACCTGCCTGCTCCTGGCCTATTGCCCTCCAAACCTTTCCTATTCATGTATCTATCCAATTGTCTTATAAACGTTGTAATTGTACCCACATCCACTGCTTCCTCAGGAAGTTCAATCCACACATGAATCACTATCTGTGCAAAAAATTTGCCCCTTGTGTCTTTTTTAAAACTCTCTCCTTAAAAATAAGCCCCCTAGTCTTGAAATCCTGTGTCCTAGGGAAAAGACAATTACCATTAACTCTACCTATACCCCTCATTATTTTATAAATTTCTATAAGGTTGCTCCTCAACTTCCTACGCTCCAGTGAAAAAATGCCCCAGCCTGTTCAGCCTTTCTTTATAACTCAAAATGTCCATAATCGACAACATCTTGGTAAATCCCTTCTGAACCCTCTCCAGCTTAATAATATCCTTCATATAACTGGGTGACCAGAACTGGACACAGCATTCCAGGAGATGCCTCACCAATGTCCTTGTGGAGACATTTATGAGTCGACTTCTGAAAACAACGAATGCTGGAGATCACAGCGGGTCAGACAGCATCCATGGAGAGAGAGCAAGCTAACATTTTGAGTCTAGATGATTCTTCAATAGAGCATGCGCCAACTTCATTGTAAATGTCTAATTAGTGGCTCAGTGGTACAGAATGTGAGTATTGTTGAAACAAGACATCGTCAAGGCCTCAGATAGTAGGAACTGCCGATGCTGGAGTCTGAGATAACAAGGTGTGGAGCTGGATGAACATAGCAGGCCAGACAGCATCAGAGGAGCAGGAAAGCTGACATTTCAGGTCAGGACCCTTCTTCAGAAATGGGGGGGCTTCGCAGTGGGGTTATAACTCACTCAGATAGTAAGAACTGCAGATGCTGGAGTCAGAGATAACAAATGTTGAGCTGGAGGAACACAGCAGGTCAGGCAGCATCAGAGGAGCAGGAAAGCTGACGTTGCAGTTTGGGACCCTTCATCAGAAATCATCAAGGACTTTTGTCTTACACTCATCAGGACAGAATTGCAAGAATACCAAGTCTCATGCAGAACACTAATTTATACTGCATGAGAAGAGGGTGCTGATGGTTTGGCAAGTGAACTCCAATAGACTGAGGTGTTGCCATAGGGAATGCATCGTGTGTTATTGTTTAGTTTGAAATAGGCTCAATACCTGGAAATGTTCGTCCTATTTGCAGAGGTCAGGGCTCCCCCCCCGCCATCTCCTCCTTGTGTGAATAAAGGTGGCTTCTATCAAGTGTAGGTGAGTCACATTGTGAATAAAAGTCAATCCCAGGGACTTATGGCCTAAAACATAGCTCTCCAAAATTTGACTTTCACAGGAGTGTGTGCGTGAACACTCCACCTGAATTAAATGGTGAGATATCTGTGCATTTCATTAACAATCCAAGAATGACTCAACTCAGCAAAAAGTCTATATATAGGGATTTTCAACATAATCTTGTATTTTGCGGTTTGATAGTGGCATTTGATTTTTGTTTCCCCTAATTTGAAGTATTTAGACACACATTGTGTGGTGTCACTGTAGGGTGTAATTTGAAAGACAGTCCAACAGGGTTACTATGATGAGTTGTTGTTGCCACGGTGAATGGTTAGAGCAGTCAGTCGCCTCCGTTCAGTCTCCGTGGTGACGGTATCCAGACCAGTTCAGCACTTTTTAAAGGGATGGGTTCCAGTGGTGTGCAATGAGGAACTCCCTTCCCTAAATGCATTAAGATCATTTAGATGAAAGAGAGGTTCTGCTATTCCAACAGAGAATAGCACTCACAGAGAATGTGGTTTGGAGACTGGGGCATTGTCAATTTAAAGCTTTCACTGACACCATCTGCAAAACAGCAGGACCACCCTCTCTGGTGTTTTTGTTCATTCCTGCACGTGTAAGTGTGGGCATGTGTGTGTTTACTTAGTCCTGGTCACAATTTTTAATTTTCCGTTTTCTAAAATTTGTCCATGGGATGTGGGTGTCGCTGACTGGGCCCAGCATTTATTGTCCGTCCCTGATTGCCCGGGAGAAGGTGGTGGTGAACTGCCTTCTTGAGCTGCTGCAGTCTTGTTGGGGGGTGGGGGGTGGGTGGGAGGTGGTTTCAGGTACCCTCACAGTGCTGGCAGAGCACAATTTCCAGGATTTTGACCCAGCAACAGGGCAGAAATGGTGAGATGGTTCTCAGTATATTGCACATAATCAGTGTTCTGAAGGAGCAGGGAGAGGTCAGTTAAGCTGTTAATTAGTTAATTTAGCGCAGTCAACCTTTGCTTTTCACGTCTCACTTCTGGGTGACCTTACAGAGGGGTATAGGAGCATAGATAAGGTGAATGACAAGGGTCTTTTCCTTAGGGTAGGGGAGTTCAAAACTAGGGAGCGTATTTTTAAGGTGAGAGGACAAAGTTTTAAAAAGGAAAGGAAGGGCAACTTTCTTTACACAGAGAATGCTTTGTGTGTGGAATGAACTGCCAGAGGAAGTGGTGGATGTGGGTACAGTTACAATGTTTAAAAGACATTTGGACAAGTACATGAATAGGAAAGGTTGGGAGGGATATGGACCAAGCACAGGGAGGTGGGACTGGTTTCATTTGGGAACACTGTCAGCTCGGACTGGTTGGTCCGAAGGGCCTGTTTCCATGTTGTATGACTCTATGACCTGAAGAGTTAGCCTACACTGGCATTTCAGGTTGATACTCAAGGTGCCAAGCCATTGTTCAACATAACAGCAAGGCTGTCAGTCTCCTAATCCAAATTCGTTCTTTGAGATCAGCATCAGGGACGCATTCACTGGCCACTTCTCTCAGGTGCTGCAGTAAAAGGGCTGCTGTATCTGACCAAATCACAAGTCAGGCCTCTCGAGAAGGGGTTCATCAGGAAAGATTCATCATTGCCCTCTTTCTCAAGGTGTGAAGAGATGCCACCGATCCAGCTGGCACCTGGGAAGAGGCTAGGCAGCAGGTCAACTGCTGTTCCCTCTGGACAGGGGAACTGGCCATTAAACTGGAGTTTATACATAGCAACAGAAAGTTCTGGATGTACACTGTAACAGCATTTGCAAAGAGAAAAGACAGGTCAACATTTCAGGTCACAAAGTATGTTGTTACCATTTGAAGTTTAAACCATTTTCTCACTATATAAGCAAAAATATTTTCATCAAACTGTTCAGACGTTATGACACAACTCTGGGGCAGGTAGGACTTGAACAGGGACTTCTGCCCCAGAGGATGGGACAGGACCCTGTGGTACAAGAGCCCTTTGTGCTGTTATGTGCCTGCTAAATATTTCCATTTTGCTTTTGGCATTCTGTGCTTCCAGCATTTTTTTTTCATTTTTATTAAATTAAGTAATTAAACATTTTAATTATATACCAACAAACTCTGAAATTGTTTATTTCTGAATACAAGGAGCAAGATAGTCAAGGTAAGCTGGAGCTCAGAAGAATGGAGAGGATGTCATAGAAACCTGTAGAATTTGAACAGGACTAGACAGGGTAAACACAGGAAGGATGTTCCTGATGACTCAGAAGTCCAGAACCAGTGGACCACAGTCGAAGGATAGAGGCTAGGCCATTTAGGTCAGAGATGAGGAAATATTTCTTCACTCAGAGAGTGGTGAGCCTGTGGAATTCAGCACCACAGAAAGCAGTAGGTTCCAAAATATTGTATCATTTCAAGAAAGAATTGGATGTAGCATTTGGAGCTAAAGGGTTTGAAGGATATGTGGGAACAGGATGATTAATCATGATCCTATTGAATGGTGGAGCAGACTCAAGAGGCTGAATGGCCTAATTCTGTTTCTATTTTCTACCTTTCTAAAGGGGCAATATTTGCCTCCACAACCTAACTGCTTATCTCTGAAGATTTAGATCAGTGAAGGCAGCTCGTTTAACTCGCAATACTATTTGTCTCATTCGGATAATATTTCAATTTTTGGATGTAGCCATGTTGACCAGGTTGTTTTTGTATTTTTATATAGAGACACGGAAAATGCCAGTCCAAGCGTGAAACTGTTTCAGCAGAAAGCCAAATGGATGGTGATGATACCAGGGGATTTGACAACTCGTGTCTCCTTCTAACAAAGTAAGGTTGGTGCTTTTTCCTGTCGGTAAAGCCATGTGCATTAGCCTCCTTCAAGAACCCCAAATCTGTGATGTGCCTCCTGTGAATTTGTTGCATGTTCTCACGGTTGAAAGGCTGTCACATTCAATTTTGCCGAGTTTCTGAGATTCTGGAGCATTGGCTTGTGTATTCTGATTTGATAACTTGAAAAGGATTGTAACTACTCAGAAGTAATGAACCTTATTCTCTTGGTCAGTTTCTTTACGTCACTCTATCCCCGTTGCTCTTGCCTTCAGTTTCCTGGGCTCTTTAAGTCTGGCGTCAGTTCACTATCTATGAGTAAGGAATGGAGTAGGCCAGTCTGCTCCTTGATCCTGCTGTACCATTCAATAAGATCATGGCTGATCTGATTACTCCACATTCCTGCCTCCCCCCGATAATCTTTCACCTCTTTGCTCATGAAGCATCTATCTACCTCTGCCTTAAAAATATTCGACGACCCTGTTTCCACTGCCTTTTGAAAGTGAGCAGTCCAAAGCCCCATGACCCCCTGAGACAAGAGAATCCTTCTCTCTATTTTAAATCCTTACTTTTAAACAGTAACAACCCGCCAGCCCAGTTCTAGATTCTTCCACTAAAGGAGTCATCCTCTCCACATCGATCAGGTCAGGATCTTGTATGTTTCAGTCAAGTCGCCGCTTACTTGTCTGATCTCCAGTGGATATAAGCCTAGCCTGCTTATCATTTCCTCATAAGACAAGCCACCCATTCCAGTTATTAGTGTGGTAAACTTTCTCTGAACTCCTTCCAACATTCTTACCTTCTTCCCTAAAAGGGCAAAGACCTGTATTTGTTTTAATTCACTTGTGGGATGTGGGTGTCACTGGCTGTGAAAGTATTTGAAATGGAAATGGAATGCAAAGCACATAGGTAATAGCAAAGTCCCAGTAGTCATACCAGATCTCCCCTCTCACTATAAAGGGCCAACTGGCAATGGTTTAACCTGAGGGGCACAATGCCTCAGGCAAGGGGAGAGGTTGAGCCCTTCACGGTAACCTCAGCTGGTGTGGGAATTGAACCCAAGCTGTTGGCATCATTTTACATCACAAACCAGCCATCCAGCCAACTGAGCCCCATAGCACATAGAGTTTGGATGAAACAGGTTATCACAAATACTGACCAGCTTCCCATCACTTAAAGCAAATGGAAGATACATGTTACAAAATATGAAATGATAAATTGGGACAATTAGCTCAAATTGAGCTAGAAATTAGGAGCAGAGAAAGGTGGGTTAGCCGTGGAAAATATTACCTGCCCCTGGTTACCCTTGAGAAGGTGGTGGTGGGCTGCCTTCTGAGAATCGTAGAATCCCTACAGTGTGGAAACAGGCCATTTGGCCCAACAAGCCCGCACCGACCCTCCGAAGTACATACCCCCAGACCCACTCCCCCAAAACCCCACACTTTCCATAGCTAACTCACCTAGCCTGCACATCCCTGAACACTATGGGCAATTTAGCATGGCCAGTCCACCTACCCTGCACATCTTTGGACTGTGGGAGGAAACCAGAGTACCCGCAGGAAACCCACACAGATGCTTGAACAGCTGCAGCCCATGTGCTCTAGGTAGACCAACAATGCCCTTGGAGAGATCATTCCAGGAATTTGACGCAGCGACATGAGGGAATGGTGATATGTTTCCATGTCATGATGGTAAGGGGGAAATGTATCACAATTCCTTCCATGTTGATGGAAATGCTTCCAGTCACTCAATATAAGACCATTCCAATGTTTACTTTGCTTCAGTGCAGAAGCTTTCTGCTTTAAACTAAAGCAAGTGCCGGAAATCTGAAATGAAAATAGAGAATTCCAGAAATACTCAGCAGGTCTGACAATATCTGCGGAGATGGAAACACAGTTAATGCTGCAGGTTACAGCAGAACATTGGAATTCCTTTTCACATCTTTTTAAAACCCACAGTGTTTCTCTGCTCCTAATTTCTAGCTCAATTTGAGCTAATAGTCACAATTTATCATTTAATATTTTGTAACGTGTATCTTCCATTTGCTGTAAGTGATGGGAAGCTGGTCAATATTTGTGATAACCTGTTTCATCCAAGCTCTATGTGCTATGGGGCTCAGTTGGCTGGATGGCTGGTTTATGATCACAATGATACCAATTGTGTGGGTTCAATACTTGCACCAGCTGGGATTACCAGGAAGGGCTCAACCTCTCCCCTCGCCTGAGGCATAGCGCCCCTCAGGATAAGCCATTGCCAGTTGGCCCTTTATGGTGAGGGAGGAGATCTGGTACAACTACTGGGACTTTGCTATTACCTATGTGCATTTTGTTTCAATTTCAAACTAGTTCTGTGAGAATGGTATGTGTGTTATTTACGCAGCCAGCTTTTGCAGGTCTTCCTGCAAAGGATCCTTTTTAAACGGTCAGACTTTGGGAGCCACACTAAGAACATTAGACATAGTCACAGACAGAGAGGTTCTTGATCAGTAAGGGGATCACGGGTTACAGGGAGAAGGCAGGAGAATGAGATTAAGAAACAAATTAGACATTTTGGAATGGTGGAGCTGACTCGATGGGCCAAATGGCTTAATTCTGCTCCTATGTCTTAGGGCTTATGGCAGAAGTAGGCCATTCAGCCCATCAAGTCTGCTTCAGAAACAAAAATACAATGAGATCATGGTTGATCTGATAATCATTAAATAAATTCAAAATACTGAGGATGCAGGAGATCTGAAACAAAAACAGAAATTGCTTGAGAAACTCGGCAGGTCTGGCAGCATCTGTGGAGAGAGAAACAGGGTTAACATTTTGAGTCTGGTATGACTCTTCTTCAAAACTCTTCAGAACCGGTCTCAAAATGTTAACTCTGTTTCTGTCTCCGCAGTTGCTGTCAGACCCACTGAATTTCTCCAACATATTCAGTGCTTGTCCCTTATTATCCTGAACTCCACATTCCTGCCTGATATCTGTGTTCCTTCAGTTCTGGCATTCTGACCATCATTGATTTTACGTGGCCCACCATTAGCTGCCAAAACCCCGCACTCTGGGTTTTCCTCCCTAAATCTCTCTCTTCTCGTTTTAGATATCCTTAAAATCTAACCAGACTTTTGGTCACCTGGCCTAAATAATAGCTCCCTCTGTGGCTGGTATCAATCTTCGTTTCATCACAGCATTTGTGAAGTTTTCTTATTCTAACCGATGCTGTATAAGTATAAAGTTTGGTCTGTTTAAGATGTAGTGGTAATGTCCCTATCTTTATGCAAGGAGACCCAGGTTCAAGTCCCACCTACTCCAGAGGTGTGTAATAACATCTCTGAACAGGTTGATTAGGAAAGTATCAATCAATATAAAGTTGTAAGGAGGACACGTTGAGAGGGTGTTCTGTTATGTTTCTCTTAACAAAGGTTCGAGTGATAGGCAGGATGTTGTTTATTCGAGAGCCTTGGTTAATATGGGGCACGTCAGTAACATGTTCACAGACTGAAACCAAGTGTTTGTGAGAGTGGGGAGCTGGTCCTTTCTCTGTGTGCGAGACTCCTCGAGCCACTGTCAGTAAGTTACCTTCAGGTAACAGTCCAGACCTGCGTGGATGTGGGTAGAGTGGCAGAAGCTCCTGTGAAAAGTGAATGTGACAGCTTTGAAGCTCTAGTAGTTGTTATTTGAGGTTTGTAACTGCGCATTGCCTGGTGGTTTTCTTTCTGTTTTGCGATTGACTTCACTTTGCTGGTAGTAGCTGGTTTAACCTGCAGTTTAAATGAATGCAACAATAAAGCTTGTGCAGGGAAAATAATTGTGAGGAGTCAGTAAATGAGAGCAGAGCGAAAGGTGCATTCCGTTGCTGATAAGGCATTAGCAGCTCCATTCAGTGGATCTGATTGAATTCAGATTTTAGCTGCACACTTGTGCAGCAATGCCAGGATGTTCCTTTCAAATTGCTCCATTTGTCGTCAGCTGAGGAGTACACAAGCAACAGACACAGAAAGTGCTGGAGAAACTCAGCGGGTCTGGCAGTATCCCTGGAGAGAGAAACAGAGTTACCATTTCGGGTTCAGTGACCCTTCTTTAGGTACTGCCAGACCTGCTGGATTTCCTCAGCATTCTCTGCGCTTGTTTCAGATTTCCAGCCTCTGTAATATTTTGCCTTTATTATTTTGATAAGCAGCTTCTACTGACCCATTTGTTTTAGTTCGTCCCACTGCTTTCTAAATTCAGCCCAGTGTTGTTTCCCTGTCAGCTGTGGCTGAGTGGGCAACACTTTCATGTCTGAGTGAAAAGGCTATGGGTTCAAGTCCCTTCTCTGAGCTCTGAGGGAGGGCAGCACTGCTGGAAATGCTGTCGTTTGAATGTTTTGTTCAACCTCTCTCCCTGTCTATGGATGTAAAAAGCCTCCGCCATTTTTATGAAGAAGACCAGGGGAATTCTCCCTGGGGTCCTGGTCAATATTTATCCCTCAATCTACCCTAACAAAAAGCAGATCATCCAGCTATCGAGATAACATGGTGTAGAGCTGGATGAACACAGCAGGCCAAGCAGCATCAGAGGAGCAGGAAGGCTGACGTTTCGGGTCGAGACCCTTCTTCAGAAATTTGATCCAATACATTGAACCAAGCTGTTCCAGTATAGTTACAAAACTGACATCTTCCCTGTAATGTGGAAAATTTCCCAGGTACACCTATTCTCGCCACAGCACATTATAGAGTTTAATTCTATAAATGTAAGTTATTACCAGTTGAAAATGGCCATGAAAGCTATTGACCTCTTGTAAAATCTCAGTAGAGTCCCCGGTGCCCTTCAGGGAAGGAATCTATTACCTTTAATTGTTAATTATATCTATTCTTTAATGCTCTCAGTAGCTTTTGGGATAGATATTTATGACTGACTGGCCAGTACCATCCTGTTCCAAGAATTAATTCACAAGAAAAAGAAACAAATGAACAATGGCTGTGGTTAAATACCAGATACCTCAATTTAAATCGCGGAAAAGTGTGGCCATTATCTTTGACCTT